GAAGGAAAAGAAGAAAAAGAGAGGGGGAGGAGCAGAAGAGCCAAAAGCATGAGCCATATCAGAGGTGTAAGCTTCGGCGAATCGCTGGATGGAGCTGTTCGGAGACAACCGGACAAGGGCCGCGTGCCTAAAGTATATTCGTGAGTTGGGTCTCATCGGATATACCGTTACGAAGTCGCCCAAGAATAGTTTGCCGCGAATGACCACGGCCCATTTTCTTCTTTTTTTTGGTCTCTCCTCCTCACCTACATCTCACTCGGGTCCTCACTTCCCGTTTCACGTCGCTTTGTCCTTCGTCCTCCGGCCTCTTCCAACGGATTTTCGACATCCTCCTTCTAACGGACGCCCTCCTTTACGGAACCGCGTTGCTCGCACTCGTTGATTACCTTTTTCATTCGAGGAAGCAGGCCAAAGGAACGGGATCGGAAGACGCGCAATGGACGATCACGATCGGTACGGTTAATCGATGGCAAAAAGACGACCGATATGCCAGTAGTATTATCTATCGCGATTAATCATAAACGACGACGTACCTTAGACGGCAGAGTTAGCATTAAATAATATGGAAACATATATAGATAACTTCATATTTTATTGATATAATTACAAATGAATTAATGTTATTCAATTACATGTCTTAAAATGATTTAAAGTAAAATAGGGAATACTTGTTAATCTTTATTAAGACTACATTTCATTAATTTTGTTTTTTATTTAAGTGTGTGTGTCTTTAGGAGGTTTCTTTCAATCAATACAAGTTTGTGTAAGATCTAACAGATATCACGAAATTAGCATTTCTTTTCTAAACTGTCACCTTGAAATTTTATAGTTTCTTTTTTAGTTTTAATTTTTATAGTCTGCGTATTATTTTGTGTAAGGAAATGTAGTGTAAGGAAATGTAGTTAGCTTGTGGATATATTCATGCTGCGCATGAATAATTTAATAACAATAATAAGAAAGAACATTGAACCACATTTGCATAATTTTAGTAACGGATTATATGCTGATTTATTAATTTAATATACCTAATATATGATAATATTAATATATAAACGTTTCGGCCTCGATTAGGCCATCTTCAATATATCGTTACAAAAGAAAATTCTCGTTATTAGAAATTATTTAATTAATAAAATTTCACAGTTCGTTACAAGTGTAGAGTCAGTGATTAAAATATTAGATTGTACATAGATTAACAAAGTAAAAGAGTTTTGAAGTTATATAAATATATATAGAGCCAGAATTTTTTGTTCTTTTGGTTTAGAGAATGTTTGTAAAAATTCAGACAATAATTTGTTGATTGAGTGTCTCGTTGTAAAAGATCCGGATAATTTATTCGACACAAAGTTTCCAAACTCTATTATAAGATTATGATTTTAGTTAATTGAAATTGAGAATTTATAAAATTAATTTAAATTGTTTTTCATACTTGTGTCTGAGCAAAATCCATAAAAGTTTGAAGGTTTTTTATTGTCGATAGATGTATACTCGCGAAGCACCTTCGAAATTCTGTCTATCTATCATCAAGAAATATATCTTTATGTACTAGTTATATTGTCTGAGTTTGTCTTTTGAGAGAGAAAATTTGAAATGTAGTAGGAGAAGTGATGTTCAGGAGTGGAAAATATATATCTGGTAATTTTTGTGTGTCGCTTTGTTTATTTAAAGAGTTGGATTGCTTTTTAATAAAAATCATTTTAGAGATGAATTTTTTTTTAAAGACGACTGTGAGCAAGCAAAATATCGTCAACTCATCGGAAATACACTAAAATATCAACATTGATGTTAGAAAGAACATCATTCTTTAAATTTTGAATAAGAATTAAGATTCGCAAGAATCGGTGATAATGGAGAATAATTTAATAGAAATCCATCGAAATTGTGTTTCGAGGAAAAAAGTCTCATAGGTGGAGGTCAGTGCGCCCTTGGGAAAATCACTTTCCTTCCGCGAACGTAATAGCCAGTTATCTCCGTTCCACGTTGCGTCCTTCCGTATACGCGTACGGGTGCGCTCGTTATGTGCGAACCTACAAACTATCGGCGAGTCCTCGCCTCGTAAACCCCGTAGGTGTGAACGCAAACACAGGGAGAGAAACGACGACGATAGCAACAGGAGGAAGACGGAAGAAAGGCGGTAGCACGAAATCTCGGATGCGCTGCTAACTAACACACAGGCCTTCGTCGTACTTTCACTTCCTTCCCTTCCCGGGACCTCTCCTCTTCCTCCGTCTCTTCCTCTTTCCCTCACGATCTCTCCCTCTGGTTCTTTCTCCCTGTCTTTCTCTCTGCTTCTCTTTCTTCTGCATAGAACTACTTTTCCTTTCAAGTCCTTGACTGAGCTGTTCGAGAGAAGACCAGGCCCATCCTGAATTTAAAGATTCCTCTTTGATGTCGCGACGTGTATGATACTCCCATTCGAAACCGGCATTCGTTCGTTTATCTTAGGGTCCCTCCGTCCTTCCTATCCGCGGACTGCCCACGTCGTGTGGGATAAATAATTGCATATCCACCCGTATTGCCGGCTTGATCACTGAACGAACTACGAGATACAAAGAAAATGAAGAGAACGAAACGACCAAACGACGGCGGGGCAGCCAGGAGAAAGAGGACAGGGAGGAGGAAGAATGAAGAAGCGAATACGCGCGGCATGACCTCTGCTTCGCGAGGTGAGAAAGAGAGAAGGAGAGGATGTGATGGACGCTGTTGGCAGCGCGAGTGGCAAAATAGTGCAAGTGAGAGAAAAGCATCTCGCATCGGCATCACGGAGAGAATCAACGAAGAAGGCGGTGGGCTGTTTCGCGCGTGTGGTAACTCTTTCGTGCGAAAGACGAGAGAAGATGCGGGATATATGACGATGAAGAGAGAGAGAGAGAGAGAGAGATGAGAGAGAGAGAGAGAGAGAGAGAGAGAGAGAGAGAGAAACGGTCGACCGGTCGGTCGAATGAACGAGAGGAGACGAGAGAGGCGCGAGTGCGCGCATCGGGTTGGATCCAGAAGGAGGTAAGCGGAGGGTTGGCAGACGATGAAGAAAGACAGAGAAAGAGTGAGAGAGAGAGAGAGAGAGAGAGGGAGTGAGTGAGCGAGAAAGAGAAGAGCAGCAGGCTAGGGATGTTGAGGGGGACGGTGACGGAGCGAGGTGAGTCGAGATGATGCAGTTGTGCGTTTGCAAGGAAGGCGGAAGGAGGAACCGCGGAGGGAACCGGTCCCGGTCACTGGGCCACCAGCCGGCCGTCGAACCCGCCACACTGCCCCCTACCGCCCCTTCCTCTCTCACTCTCTTCCTCCACCCCTCTACACCCTTCGTCCCTCCCGTCCGGTATGTTACCTCCTTGCGAACCTCGCATCGCGCTTCTTGCAACCGACGACTCGCGACGACACACCATGTGCAGTGTGTCTGTGTATGTGTGTGTGTGTGTGTCTTCAGGTTCTTCAAACAATGTCAACTCACATGTGCCACCGCACTGATAATGTTGCCCTCTCTCTCTCTCTTGTCACTATATTATTATCTGTGAATTGTGTATTATCCGCTTTACCCTAGCTGTATTTTCGAAACTGTCATTCGCCATTGTCGCATTTTCGTTGATTTTATATGCGATAAATATTCACATTTCATACAAAATAATTGATATTTAATATTATAGATATAAAATATAAATAATTAAATAATTGAACTGATATTTTCTCAATTATGCATTAAACGCAACATTTTCGATTATTAGCAAAGTTAATATTAATTTTATTTATAAATAAATTGTAAAAACTAATGATAATCTGTTTTTTAAGTGTTTCGCGTTAAATAATTTTTACCTCAGTGTCTAAATTGTTGCGTACATACATCGATTATGTAGTGTTTGTATCTCTATATAAATACTTGAAAAGATTTTAATTAATAATTTAATGAAAATTATATAGATGTGCATTTCTATTCTGTCAATCCATTCGTCTAACATCAATGTTCTTGCAAAAAATTCCAAGATTAGTTTTAGATCAAGCTTTCGATCGTGAGAAAGCAAACGTGATGGTAACGCAAACGGAAGTTTACTTCGTTCACAGTAATCTCTACGAGATACGCCAAACATTTTTTCTTAATTAAGAAAGGACGTAATGGTTAATTAAGTTTTTCTTCCACGGCATTCTTTTACTAGCGTTAAGCCTATAAAGCAATTTAGTGATTGTCAAATGTGGTTTTAACTGGTTTTAACTATCAATAGACACGCAATGATAAAATATGATTTAAAAAAACTTATACTTTAATATAATATACTCTCTCTTCTTGAAATTGTTTTACATTTATGCTCTCTAACATACTCCCCCTCTCCTTCATAGTGTAGTACGATTGACTTAACATAAATTTGCTATAATTGATATTGTGTATATGTATACATACATACATAATTATTTTGATATTGATTGTTCAATATATTATCATTAAATAATATGATTTATAAATGATTCGTATTCAGAATAGTCGATGATAAAATCGAAACATAGAAATTGTTTTAATCGCTCAAGCACTATTATTAAATTAAAATTTGTCGTAATATATAAAAATAATATCATGCAGTTACATATAATTATATAGCACTAATTTTTAAAATGTTGATATTAAAGGTAGATACTCTGTAAAATACAAATTCTATTCAAAAGTCGATAAAAATATATTTATTTATGAAGTGTATTAGTGTTAATGTTAAATTAATTTATATATTTATTAATATATAAATATATTTTTTAATATTATATAACACAATTTGTATCTTAATCTGTAATCATACTTTGATAATAGAGACTACTGTATGATGTACCAACTGAAGGTACATCACTTATTACTGATTTCAGATATACCAAATATATACGAGAACTTATTGACTGCAGATATTTTATGTATTCACTCGATTATTCGATATAAATGCAATTTTTTAAAACTACTTTACTTTATATTTTTCAGTTAAACGAAATGGTTTCTGCAAAGAAAAGTGGAAAAGTAATTTTTATGCGCAATATATTTTTTATTCTCACAAATGTGTACATTATGTTCAATAGTATACAACTATAAAATAAATGGAATAAAATAGTAGTAAAACTAGTAAAGACAGACTTCAATTGATGGCAAGATTAATGACTCGCCATACAAAAATGGTCCTCATAAATCTTCATATCACATGAATATCTCGTAACTTGACGTATTGTCAAACTCGCGGATTCAATTCGTTTCTTTGGACATTTGGTTGACACATTGCTCCCTGGTACATCGTTTCTGAATTAGGTTGACATAGCGACGCAGGTTGGGCAGGTGGATAGGATTGCGCTTGACGCTCACAGGACTTCGTATTTGAATAAGTGGGACATCCAGTGATCGGTGGACAAGGGGTGCCATGGGGATCACAGGAAACTTTGCAGGGCGGGCAAGGTGATATACAGATGGGTTTGCAGTCGAGCTCGCAAACGTATTGCATTTCGTAGGGAAGATCATTTCGCAGTGTCAGACATTTTCCTTGGATCAGATAGCAGTAGGACATAGCTAAGACGGGATTGCCGCTGTACGCGATGCAATGAGGTTGCGATAGATGTCCGTATAAATCGATGTGCGTGTACTTTAAAGGGGTACAGCTACAAACTCCATGCTGCAATCGATACGAAATTGGTCAAGAAGAGAAAGGGAAGAAATGAGAGAGGGAGAGGAGAGACAATTAGAGAGAGAGAGAGAGAGAGACAATGAGTGAGTGAGTGAGTGTGTGTCTGCGTGTGTGAGAGAGGGAGAGAATAAATGAATTTTTTAACATCATTGTTATGAAAAAGCTTCTTAATCCGTAATTAATACTTGCTTACGTGTCTGCATTAACTCGATCTATACAAAATTCATTGTACTTAATTGAGGCGACTGAAGTAAATAATGGATAACCTTGATTGATAGATATAAAATAATGAAAAATTTGAAAAATTAAAAAATATCTGCAAACAATTCATTATGTATTTATTTGCAATATGATTTGAGAGAATGACTATTAATTATCGAATCAGAATCAAATTTAGTAGCTATGATATTACCTATAGCTATTATTCATTATTTATATCACAGTATTACAAGAAGTTTTAAATTACACAAAGAAAGGAATTATTATGAATAAATAATTCATTTATTGATAAAATATGTAATAAAAAAAGATAAATTTATGTTTATTTTTATATATTAAAAGATGTTAAAAATTTACCGATTTTAAATTTTTACTATCTTAGATAAGTGCCTATTGGCATTTCCGCTACTTCACCTACATAGTGTGTGACTCTAGTATAGTTTATTGTGTTCCAAGTAAATCCGTGTTATATACAGCTTATGGGAACTCTGAGGCTCAAGGATTTATGGAGATAATTAATTATTATTTGCATTTCCGGTTAATATCCAAAGTTCTTTGCGCCAGTCATGAATATTAATTGCTTTAAATATATATCACAAGGATATATGCATAATATGCAATATGTATAAAGATATATATAATATATAAAATATCATAGTTTACGTCAGCTTTACTGATTTTTGTTCTCTATTTGATCAAAAAGAAACATTTTGGTTAATGCTAAAATTGGTGATCCAGTTGGTTGTACGGGAAAATCACCGGCACTGCCGGCTATGTCCACGTGACAATATTTTAATGGCTTCTCTGATTCAATACCGTGCTAAAAATCATAAATTATTCAGCAATATATTATACTATATCTAAAAATACGTTAAATTTAAATAAAAACTTAAATAGAAATAACAACAAACATAACACCTTGTCTAATCCGGAAGCTTTAATTAGAAAAGCGGCTGGTCCCTGATGACCTCGCGGAATCTTGGAACTAAGTTGATTTAGTGCTTGAAGAATATCGTCACCTTCTGCACGCCCTTGATGGGTAAGAAAATCCTCTCTACGTATTCGCGATATTTCGAATAGATCGCCAACAGCTTCGCCGGAAGCTTGAAGCTTTTCTGCATTACTAGCTAGTCGTGCCACAGCATTATCCATAGCAATCTATAGCAATGAATATATGAATGCAAGTTCTACATTTTCAAAAATGTATGGATACATGATAAAATGGATCTTTTATCGGAGAATCTTTTACCAACAAAGTATCCTCAGAGAATGAATTATAGCTAACGTCTACAAGCAATTTTGATAACAAAATCATATCATATGTCACGCTCGGGATTCAATATAACACAGAGAAACTACACGTTGCATCTAGATCGTTTCAATATAACACAGGAAAACTGCACACTGTATCTAGATCATTTATAACCCTGTCCAATTACGCTTTCGTCAATGAATCAACAAACATAACTGTCTGTATACATTTCTGCCAGTTTGCATCTAGATTTTAACGTCTAGTTTTGTTATTGTTACACGGTGATAGTAGAACGGGATTGTTTGCTCTCTCTCTTCGTTTAAAATATATTATATTATCGTCCGAGAGTAGTAAGAATTCAAACACAGCTACATGTATTATCTTATTCGGTAAAATGCGATTAAAAAGGCATAACCACAAATATGACTTTACAGTACTTACGGAATATCCTGAACCTGCAGTTAATACTGCGTGGCCTGTTAACGTAGCTATTGTGAAGAGATGAGGATTCACAGAACATAAGGCCATTTCTTTGAGATAATAGAGAGCATCGGCCATAGCCATTCTACCCTCGGCGTCCGTGTTGCCCACACGTACCCTCGCACCGGATTTTGCCGTGATTACCTCATCAGCGACATAAGAGTTCTCGCCTATACTATTTCTTACAACGCACAAAGCGACGACGACCTTTACTGTTGGCGGTTGCAATAAATTCACTACCTGCGATTTATAACAGATTTCACTTATTGTTAGACATATGAAATATTCGTCTACAATTAAAACATTTAAAAAACGCATTACTTTTTCATTATTTGTGTAATTTTAATTCTCGATTTAGCAAAAATGCAGATGTTAAAAAAAAAAACGATAATTTCTGATCTTTTATCATAAATGCATATGATAATAGGCTCGGTGTGCTATATATACCTTAATTGAGAGAGAGAAAGAGAGAGAGAGAGAGAGAATCTGCACATCGAGATCATTAATAGACTACACTGTGCCAGATGAAATAGAATTATGGTTAGCATATGGTGATCATTCAAGAATCTACTAGCTCGTATAATCAAGGAGGAAACTTATTAAAACGACATATTATTAATAGCAGTGAGGTGAAACGCGATCGTTTCAGCATGACGTATGTATAATGCTCGACGATATATTACACGGCACCTGCATGAATCCCGCACAAGCGGCCGCGCCACATTTATCCCTCGACATGCCAGCCATGATGCCCTGGCACTTGATGTCGGCGCCACCGGTATCATAAGTGACACCTTTCCCCACGATCAAGATCGTCTCCAAGACGCAAGTGGGCGGCTCATAAGTCAAAAATATAATTCTACCGGCGTGACGCGGTATTACTGAGGCGGCGCGATTTACACAAGCGAATAGTGGGTATTCCTGAAGTAACGTATCCTGATCGGATATCACTTGCATCGTGACATTCGATCCGCAAAACAGCTCCGCCAGGTATTCCTCCACTCTCGAGGGAGCCATTCTTTCAGGGTCTGCACCACCTAATTTAACACACGAGTAAAAGCGCCACTGACTATTAATAGGATATGAATAGATGTAGATTAAATAAATACGTGTAAATATTAAATAATAGTTTTTTCGTTTTTTACAATTATTAAATAATTAGATACAAAGTATTCTTTTCTTTCTCAAAGTATTTTGCGATTATATCTTATAAAGTTCATTCGATGAAGGTAACAATTTTATGTTTTTGTAATTTCTATTTTGATGTTAATAATGTGATTTTTTTGAAAAATTAATCATTTGCCTTTTGCCTGCATTTAAGTTTTATTTACTATTAATTTATTTTTAATCAATTCAAACTCGTGCGTGCACGCACACGCACGCATATACACACAATTCTCAGTTGCGAATAAGCTTCCCATTTATTCGTTTAATATATTGAAATATAAAAAACTGAAATACTAAACTGAATAGATTGAACTCTTCCTTTTTTGTATAAAGACCATGTTTCAGCCAATTATTTTCAAACAAATACGATATTTTTCATCAGCAATTATTTTCACCATTTGACAAGCTCAGTGTAAGATCATGTTATTTAATTATTTGCATTTTTATTATTATCCTTGTTTGCTCGAGAAGTAATGAATAAATTTTAACATACACGAAACATTATCGATGTTGCAATTAATATATTGTAAGAAACTTCTGTTACTGTAATTTTAGTTGAAATTAATATATCTTGGGATAAAAAATGTGTTACAAGTTTCAAGTTGCTAATTGCAAATATCTTTTCTGTCTGTATCGATTAGTTATATTGAAAATTTTGCGCTTACTCTATTTGTCTTTTGCTTTGGCACATGCGAATAATTCTGCAGTCTCAACTGAGCTTGCGGCAATAGCTAGGTCATCAAAATTTACTTTACGAAATAGACTTATCCACTTTTCTCGTTTTGCTCTAGGTGCAAGCAAATAGCATACGTTCTATCCAAGCTAGCTAGGCGGAAATGGAAGTTTATGTATAAAAGCCATATAATAAAGCATATAAATGCTAAGGGAGAAAGAGAGACGATAAAGGATAAATCCTTTAAACGCTGTGGCAAATATTGTAGAAAGGCCAATTGTTATTAAACTGCCACAGGGAATGAGCACTGTATTTTCCTTCTGCGTTGTACACGAAACGTAAGATTAAAAATGAACACTTAAACTCTCTAAATCGCTGGCTATACTTAAACTTTAAACTCGATAATTCCCGAGGGCTATTCCGACTGAACTTGAACACCGGAACGCGAAGAGCGACGAGTTGTGCTGGATTAACAGGGAGTCAAAAGACCTTTCTCGGACAAGTAGGGAGCCGCGGGCAATTTTCCCCACCAAAGCTTATTTCTTCCGCGAAAAGGGGAAACTCGCGACCGAAGTTCAAGCTCCTCTTCTCGCACAAAGATAGGAAAACCTGCTTTGCTCACTCGATAAACTACCGCGAGTCATGTACGCTTGGGACAGAACAGAACTTACCGATGTCCCTTGCGACGTATCTGCCACTCTCGAGCGCCGAGACCAGTTTCACGATACCCTGAAGCTTCTTACTGCAAATCGGACTCCACACTCCGAGTTGACACGCTTTGTAGCATCGATCCGGACCTATCTCACGTACTTCCAAAGGCTGTGAAAATATAAAATCGCCGGTCGAAGATTATCAATTTTTAAGATACGATAACAATAAATAAGAAAAATAAAAATTTTATCTTTTTAATATAAATTATTTTTACTGAAATATAATAGTATTCTATAATATCATCTCTGTTTTAAATCCTTTATACGCAAATCACATTATGTTTCTTTTTGCATAAGATCTAACGAAAAAAGAGAAGTTCATTCGTCTGTATAGAAAAAATGTACGAAAAACATGATAATCTTCTTATTGAATGAGAACTTCGTAGATAATGGAACTAGAGCTTATACGTATAATTTTTATGAACTTACATGTAAATCAGTTGAAAGATTTTTTAGTTGATTTATATATACCCGGCAGACTAACTTTAATTTTCTTTGCTTGAAAAGCTCCAGTATTTTCGTGTATATATTTCACACATATATATATATATATATAATCTTTTTACATATATATATATTGTATATAGAGATTAAATTTTTTTCAACAAAAAGATTCTACGACCTGACACGTGCGCGGCTCGTTTTATCACGAGCGACCTTTTGTGTTGTCACTGGTGCGCGTTCGTGCAGTTTGCGAGCGAGCGGAAAGAATTGAAAAAGTCGGAAAACTGCTAGCTGCAAGAGAAGCGAGAAAGAGACCGATGCGAGATTCGCGACGACGCGGTGTTCCGATTACGTGGCGCAGAAATTCCGAGGGCGCTTCCTGGTATTTGGGAAACGATGCCCCGTATTTGCGTCGGATGGAAGGAACGAGCGACGTAGGAGAGGAAAGAGGGTCAGAAGAGGGAACTATCAAGAAAGAAGCGTATGAGCTCGGTGCCAACAACGCTCCTGTGCCGCAGGCTGAGCGGTCGGTGAGGCGAGACGAGGGAAGACCCGAGTATTTCGCTAATTAGGTCGCCTCGCCGGCCGCCAGGATTCAGGAACGCCAAGCATTTGCTACTCTTGGTAGGGCAGAGCACTCGGCTTACCCCCCCAGCGTCCTCCTAACCCCTTGCTACACCCCGTTGCCACCCACAAACAAGCCCCGACCAACTGCTCCTCCCTTGGTGATCCGAACTTAGAATTTTAGTCCTTGAACTTACGCGAAAGAATGTCTGTTATGTATGTGCAACGAATTATGAGATAAGCTTTCACTATTAGATAAGCTTAATTGTCACGTCTCGAAAGAAAAAATTAAATCTCTCTTTAAATTCGAGCAAAGTAGTATAACAAAATTAATATGATATTAATGAATTGTTAAGATAAAAATTAGCTTATATTAAATTATATCAATTCGTATCAAAGAATAAAAGATTTGAAATATTTGACGTAAGTACTTAAAGTACTTATTTTTTTAATGATAAATCTATAATCGTCGAATTTTTTTTATGTGTAGAATAAAAAAATTAATTTATATAAAGAAAGACATTTAGCAGAAATGCAAATAAATCATCTATCTTATCGCAAAATGGAAATTTGCTGCTATCTTCGATAAAATCTATTTTTCAACACTTAATGTTGATTAGATAGTTTTTACTTTTTTGAAGAGTACTACTATTTTAAATCTAGAATTTTTCTAGTGCTCTTTATAATAAATAAAGTTCATCCCAGCGAAGATCTAAAAGATTTCATAGGTCTTCGCGACAAAGTCCGAGAACGAGTCTCTTGTCCTGTCTAGCGTGTAATCTACACTGATCACAAGCGTAGTGCCCTTCCTCTTTTCCAACTGCTTTTACTTTATCGGTTTAAGTTATCGCTCTTTCTTTAATCTTCGACAAGAGATGAATGTCTTGTCTTTACTTCAACAGCCGTTGTACTTTATGACGGATGAATCAATACTATGTTAACTCTTATGCACTATTGAGCATTTAAATTTAACAAAAGAATAAATCAATTGCACAATTTTATGTATGTATAAAAATTGCACAAAACGCTACCTCTTACCTTTAAAATATTGTTTCACTTTGTACAAAAGGATAGATATAAATTTGCTTTACACAATGTTGTAAAGGAAATTAATCTTTTGGAATAACAGTAATCTTTATCTAGTCCTAAAAATATATAGTTCCAAAAAATGACTAATTGATTAATACATTACTTTGTTACAAACCTTTACAAAAGTTTTCTGATTTATCAATCACTATTCCTATGCTAGCAAGATATTTGAAATTTGGTATTCACGACGTTTCTAGGAAGACTGTATTCGATTAAATATTTTTAATTGTTGAACGTATGTACGCGCGCGTGAGTGACGTATGTAGTCGATCGCGCGACTCGCGTTGCATGGTAAAGCGATTACTATAGAATTCGCGCAAATCGATCGTGCCGCGTATACTCGTGCCGGATAACTTCCGACTTGGAAGTTCGCATAATAACGCGGATACTATCGTCCGACCGTAATTAACCGCGGCGGCGCTGAGGTTAATGAACAATGGAGCTCGCAATCGGAGTTGTGCAACCCGATATCCTCCGTAAGACACACACTTATCGATCAAGCATAGCCCACGCCGAAATCTGTCCGTGGCAGGTGTTGTTCGATGATCGTGTTGACCGCACTTTTTGCCGTCGGTATCTGTCATCGTTTATTCGAGACATTGAACGAACTTGTTTATCGAAATGTCCGTGGTCTCGGTCGATGTCTTGTGCTGAAGTTATATGTGCTTTGTCGCTGTCATACACATTCGCATCCGAGAAAAATAAATTTTGAAAGCTCAGATACACGGTCGCCTGCCAGCATCAAATAAAATTATAATCAGTCTGCATTGGATGCATGGCATGGATTATCGTACTTGTATTAATCATTGTGAAATGCAAATGTTTGTAAATTATTCACGTATCCTAGCTTTCCATAATTATTAAATAATAAATATCTAGAGGTTCATAGTAATTATCCGATTATATAGCCGTTTGCGAATAGAATCTTATTGGAACGATCGGACATTAATGAAGCAAAATTAATTCTGTTTTCGCAAAATATTATCTAAGGATTAGTTGAATCGCATTGCGCAGCCCACTTAGTCATTAGTTATGGATTAAGATCACAGTAGCAATTTAGTTTAGAGATGAGATAGACGGATTTACTAGAGTTGGAATATGGTGAATAACTTGGGGGCAGCCAATCAGACCACAGCACACCAAACTGGGCTGAAACACGGAGATGAATTCCTTCCAGATACAACTACAGGCTTCCTATTCTGCCAATGTAGATGTGCACAAAGCTATGTTGTATCTGTTTGATTGGTTTAAACGGCTCTCGTATAACCACAACTGTACCAACTATCTGCGAAATGCCTTAACCGGATATATTGGCACAATCGAGTAACGTTTGCTTATCGATTTTCTCGATTTTAGCCAGCGATTTTTCCTATTTTTATTTTTAAATTCTACAATACTATTACAGTAATGTTTAGTACCGATCGATTTAATTTTTCCACATTTAGCAATCGTTATGAGTGGGAAAATTCTGTGATTGCTATTTTCAACTGAATTCAATCAAATAAGCTAATGGAGAGACTCTTTTCTTAAACGTCTTCATGCATAAAGTTCTAATAATAAAAGTAATGATTATTTATTGATCTTACTATAAATTTTCATACATTTTTATAAATACAGTTATAAATTTTATTTTATTAATATTTGAAATTATTTAATATTCTACTTTCCAGGTAAAAGACATTTAAAAAATTCTTATAATCTATTTATTACAATATTGTTTCGACAGTTTATTATTATGATGAATAATATATGCTGTAATAGGACTTACCACGTAGAGACCCTCCAAAGCACCAAGAAGAGTGACTAGCTCAACGTTTTCAAAACGATCATCTGGCAGTAGTACCAACAAAGGACATTTTACGCCAGCTTTTAAAGCCCTAATAAATGCAGAAAAGTCATAAACTCAATTATATTTTGAAGAATTATATATTATTCTAATATAGTATTATTATATTTGATCATACATATAATGAAAATTAATTTCGGAGTAAGATTATATTTTACTTTAGTCTTTCTAATCCAAAAAATTATTACACAGATAAGATAAATCCTGTTTATATGAAATAAAATGTTTAATAAAATTATCGTACATTCGCGATAATTCTATTAAAAAAAAAATGATATCAACAAAAAACTCAATAGGTCAAGAATTATCTTTCTGACAGATTGCTGGATTGATAGTAGAATATACCAAACTAATAATCTAAATTGAATTAATCGAAACCAAGGATTCTTAATGTCAAATAACAATATAACTAATAGAAAGGGCATATAAGAATCAGTTATAAAAATAAGAACTTATAATGGATTTAGTAAGTCATCAAGAGATACCGTAAAAATGGAATTCAGAGGTAGAAGGATTCATATGTATGGGCTCAAAATGAAGTTGGTAGTAATTATGGTGCGGATATATCGTTTATATTCGGTGCTTGTCAGCGGACATCATAATCCACACAGTAATATCGCTACTATAACACCTGCAGTAATACTACACTCTAGAGGACGTTCATGCAAAAAAGAGAAGAGAAATGAGTCCTCTGGGAAAAAGTACAGTTCTCATTGAGTATCTCGAGACACGAATGGTCATTCTCGCTCTCCTTGTATCTAATTTTCATCTTGTCGGATGTAATACAAACGTGAGCTATGTAACTGAAGGTGCCTCTCACTTTTGCGAATCACGAACTATTAATCTATTTCTAAAGTATATTACTATCATGTTTAAACTTTGTTAAACGTTCCTGACGCGTTGCGTGCAATGTCTCGTACTTGGTAATTTCGAGAAACTGTCGTTATATCACGGTTCTCAAATCTCCCGTTCTATTCTCAATTCAACAAAGTACTTCTGATTTGAGTTTGGTACTAATGTCGCGTAGAACCGTGCACCGCTATTATTTCGAGATCTTAAAAGGACTGCAAATACCACGTTATTGCTTATATATGTAACGGAGCGTGATAACAGTTTTGTCCGCAGGAGACATTGATAATAATTAAAACTAAAATAATAAAATTCATACGTTGCGACCAGTTTCCTCTGGAGAATACTTCGTAAGGTTTGCACGAGAAGAAAAATAAATTATAAATTTAAGCGAATTGTACTTTCACATAATTATACAAGAAGCTGGGACCCAAGAGTTTATGAGCTTTATGTTTTATTCGTACCTACACCGCCATGCGTCAATAATGTATGTTTTGTATGTTTAATTAAATGCACTGTATGCCTCAATCTTTTATACAATTTCAAAATTTCTGCTATGTTAACCTATCCAAATTATCTCGCTTTACTCTAAATTAAAACGCATTACGAGATACGTTCATCACTTTTCTACTAACATGCTAAACGTACACTGATCCATGCCAATCTTCCGTTAACGTCACTACTGTCCGCGTGAAAAAAACAGTTGTGCCAAGCGGACAGGAATTTCATTTTTCAATCGAATTTCGGAACGGACAGGCGTATGGTTCGCGCGGAATTTCGTTCGAACATCATTGCGTTTCCCCTATACAGCTATTGGAGTACATACACAAAACGCTGACAATCGTTCGTGGCTCGTTTCGTTGCAAGACCATCATGTCGCTAGTGAATGAACACTTGACAAGCGGGTGCGAAGATGTCCGAAATTGTAAACATACAATCAAGAGCACTTAATTAATTACTCTGACATTGATTTCGATTAATTTCAACGACCTCGAAAAAAAATACGGCGATTTTTTCAAATATATGCAAATTGCCGACACAAGAACGTAGATATAACGTCACTTCCTGGGTATGCTCGCTAAATCCAATTATACCCGGACAATGAAAAACACTGGAATTTGCGCGCTTCGATTGTGGAATTTAGTAAAGTGTCCCTTATATAGTTGAAGAATGCTTATTAGAAATACCAAAGAGATTAAAAATATTGTTGAATTATTAGTGATTATTGTTAAAGGATCAAAAACTTGAAAAAATTTTATCTTTTGCAATAAATATTGATTCGTGTATGTAATAGACAAAGAATGAACATGTAGAAATCTTGTTGGATTGAAATTAAAAAGAGACAATGTAGGTGTGCGAAGTTGCTTTAATATAGCATCGTGTCACTGTATATCGTTTCTTTTATTGTATTGCCATAGCATTTTTATTTTTTCTCAAAATAGAGAGATAACCATAAAACTTGTATAGTTATATCCATGATTCAATTAATCGATAACATGAAGAAACTGAATTAACGGATAACTGTTAGTCCGTAATAGTAATTATCAAGAAGTGTCAGATCAAAAGCTAAACGAAATAAAAGTATAATATGTAAAATGGGCGTTTATTTAATGATCATTTTTATAAAAAGTATGTAATTTTTGTTTTTGTTAAATACTTTTTTATGCAGTACAGTACAGCATATTAAGTATGTCACATGAAAATGAATTTATTAACAATAAACATTAAATATATTAATTATACAGTGTAGGCAATAAAAATTTATAAAAAATATGAATTTATTTGCTGGAAATAGAGAAATATATATATAATTATTGTAAATTTATAAATTACTTTATAATAAAATATTAATTTTCATTTTAATTAAAGCAGTGACGTTGCAGTAAAGTATTATACCTATTTCAACCTACCAACAAAATATAGATAAAAAATTTTATTTCCAGCAAGATTTTTTTACCTTAATAATTAGTTATGGTGGCAAAATTTGATTGCTTTCATCTAAAATATAAATGCAGTAGTGTTGCTACGATAGTAAAATTTATTTTCTCTATTTGCATTTACTTAGACAGATACATTACAGATTATATATGTTGCAGTCCTGTAATTACAATTATGTGTAATAACAAAAAAAAATGAAAAAATTTCTCTCTCGAGTGACTCTCGAAATTAATAATGAAATAAAGGTATATAAGAGTGAAATGTAGTAATTGCAAGTGAGTTACAAAATATGTATATTAGTAATTAGTACTTAAAGTATAATATCGAACGCTTCGATTCGTTTGAGTCTTTCTCAGCGAAATGTGTTTTTAATTATGTATAACATTAGAGTCAACAACAACGCCATGTGTTTTCGAAACTGCAAAAATGCAAGGACTGCGCGTGCAAGATTTGTCCTGGCACTTTGTCCGTACGCTTTTGACACACAATCAGATAATTTAGCTAATACATGGCAACTTGAATGCTGTGTTGTATTGTGATTTCATTACCGGACTACAACATATATACTGCTTCTTTATACTTTTATTCAATGTTTTATATTTTTATTTAAATATATTATAAAATCGTATTTAAAAGCTGATAAGATAAATCGATATATAATACATATGTATTTATATAAAATATATTCCTACAGTTATAACAGTTTTTGTTAGTTCGGTACATATATTCACGTTAAAAAAAAAAATTATAAAAAGGAAGAAAAACGTGTGGGATCACACAAAAGAATTACCGTTTTATTCCCTTCGTGGCTGCCTCTGCGAAACTCCGCACATCGTGATAATCCATGTTAAGCGGACCCGTTGGGCTGTAAATGAGCCTTTTTGCGAGCAAATTGATGGGCAAAACCGCGCCGATCACGCCCAGTGCAGCATCGATCTGGGCCGCAGTATAGAGGACGGTTTTGAAGGGTTCCGGCTCGTTGGATCCAGGGGTACTTCCTGACACCAGAATAATGCCATCGTATTCGCCGCTGCAGATATTCGTTTCAATTTTCAACTGACATGGCATCCATCTGAAATGAATCATTATCCATGTTATTTGAACACCTCACTAATTATTATTAGCAAATCCGATTAGACAAAAGCAAGATAATTAATCGTTAGCGAGAACACGATAGATCCATTGAAGTCAATATAATTACAGTAGAACACAAATTAGCGGAGGAAGATAGAAATCTTTATAAAAAAAAAAATGAGAGAGAGGGATGAGATATTTACTTCATGCCATTTATCCAGTAGAATTATTTACTTGCTAACATTGTGGCCTGTTAGATATTGTATAACACATCGAAGAGTAAATGCAAATGCTTTAATATCATTTTTTAGTATAAATGTATGTAAACAAATTTTAACTATTATTTTTATAATTATATTTGAAATTTTTTGTGCGCGTAATTTTAGTAATACACAATCTTTCAACGTGAATCACAAACAGGAGGTATAGAATTCCTACATTTGTGTTTTGATGTATCTTTCAGTGTTTATGGGACAATGTCGCATTTGATTTTCTCTGCGGGAATGTTTACTCATACATCTGTCTTTTCATATTTGCAATTCCTTCTTATTTTTGCTCGGATAAAATCGTATAAGAGAGCGAACTGAATATTCGCATGTGAAAAGAAATAAAATCACTATGTAACACTTCATGGCGAATTAGTGATGCAAGCGTACATTAAAAGACCAAGATAAATACTACAGTTAAAAATTTACACAGCTATTAAACTGCCAGACGTAATAGTAAAACAATTTAAAAGTTTCCTTTTTTCCTTATTATTATTTTAATTTTTGCTTCAATGTATATTTTCACTTATTCTTTACAGTTTAATCATTCGTACACACGTTTAGTATCGAACAGAGCATAAAGATGCGGGGGGGGGAGGGGGGGAGGTTCCACTGCGGGACGTTGCGACGAGGTAAAGTGTGCCTAAATCTGATTGGCCGTTACTGTACGTGTGGGCAAGTGTGTGATGGTGTGTGTGTAGTTGTGTTGTGTTGTTTAGGCACAGTCGTCCCCCGCATTTCAGTACAACCCCCCTCGCCTATCTTCGGAGCTAATGCTCTGTCCCTATTTTTTTATGTCCATGATTTCAATAGTCTTGGAGTTGTTAACTTGGAGAATCATTTCCATTTTGCGAGAGAGAAAGAGAGAGAGAGATAGAGAGAGATTTTTTGTATACTATCTTTAATTCAAATAATCTGTTATCTTTTTTTTTAAAGGTGGATTGTTACAATAATGAACATATCTAAAATATTTTTGTTTTTATTTCATTATTTATGTAATTTTATATATTTTATATTTTCAGTATCAAATGTCATTATATTAAATTACACTAAACAGTTTATTTTTTGGGGTGGGAACAAGTTAACAGAAAAGGATTAATTAATATTTTTATTTGAATATTAACAAATATTCTTTCATAATAATAATTTGAGATTAAAAAATTACTGTAATTTGTTTTTATTTATTGTATTTTATTAAATGTAAAAATCAACTTATTAAATACACTCACTAATAACGGAAAGTATAATATTGTTAATATTTTTTAAATTCAATTTAATTATAGATATGACATTTTGTTAGAAGGTAAATTTTGTTAGAGTACCGTGTTGCAGTTGTATAAATATTTTATAAAAACATAGTATTCTTATCAATGACTATAAATATTGTTATCTTCTTCTACATTAGCATTAAAACGAAGATATGTATTATTAAATGTACGACTTGGAGAACAAATTAAATGTTTCAGTAATTTAGTTGAATATGATTGTTTAGATAAGATTACTAAAGGTATGTTCCACGTGGAATACATTAACATGATACAATATTTACAATATCTATTGCATATTAAATAATTTTATGCTTTTATCTCGGATTTAGTGTATGTGGCTATATATTTGAACATGTAACATATATATATATATATATATAGAGAGAGAGAGAGAGAGAGACGAATAAAAAAACTAAAAATAATATAATTATAGAATATTTTTATTGATATGTAAACGTTCATATTTCAGAGTAAGAAAGTTTATACAAAATCTATACAAATATTGCTATATGTAAAAAAAAACTACATAAACCTCTTGCCATAATACCACAAAGATTCTTTTTATACAAAAGGAAAGAAAATATTAGAGAAGCAGATGTGCAAATATACTTTATAGGAAATGTACCGCATGAAATGTACGAAAATTTTGAAGGTGGTAATTCCGAAAAATGACGCAGAGCGAGTTGCTATGAAAACATTTGGTTCTTACGATCGTCTAACAAACGACAACATCTTTCGAAGTATTTTGTAGCATCGATGCAGAATTATCTGGGTCAGAAATTAAAAATATTTATCCTAACTATGCTACCTATGTATAATTAGTGTTATAGTTGTGAAGTGTTTCGTTAAGTAAAATCCGTCAGATTAAATTTAATCTGAGTTCTAATCACAATGAAAAGATATACAATTTAATTAGAAGATATTTTATCACAAGTTTGAAGTATTCTTTTGCAATGATAATTAACGCGATCCACGCGCAGATCTCATTTTAACCAATGATAGATTTTTTATACATCTCACCCCGTTCTAGCCTTAACATTTTTCCAGTCGCGAAATCAACCCAGTCAATACTGACTGGTCACAATTCGGGCACAATAACGTTGATTTCTATGGAAGATAATAAATCTCAAGAGTACACATGATATTGCGCACGCGGTAAATCGAACATCGATCGATTGCGAACATAATCTAACAGACAATAATGCTTCCTCGTGCTCTCATGAACGTGTGTGTGTGTGTGTGTGTGTGTGTATACGTCACGCAGTGATAATGAAGTCTTCGTAGATCTACGATCATTGCTACCATCAGGTGTTTCCATGAGCTCGCTTCGTGCAGTTTATGCACGATTCGCTAATAATTTACCCTCGAATGTACCAATATCTATCTGTATCTAGTATTTGCTAAAACTAATAATGGCTTAAAGAAAAGGTGGAAAAATTAAGAAAAGCGCGAATCTTTAGGAATCATAATAATTACTTTATGTAGCGCATGATATCTTGACGAATAATATATTATTTCCATTACTATACGAATGTTAGCACTAATATTTGATTTTACGCATACATATGAGTTATTTATTTAATATAATTGGGAATACCATAAAAAATATACATAGCCTATATATATGGATTTGATTGAAATATTTAAATAAAGGTATTCCCATATAAACCAAATTGTTATCAATTTCACTATTCATGGTGGGCTCAAACATATTAAAACATGATTTATAAAGCTACTAAAGTATATAATGATTTAAAACTGATCAAATGTACTCTTGCAACATATATATAAACAAATAAAAATCTATGATCTCGCTACAGATATTTTTTATTAACGAATTTTTAAAAGAAATCATATTAATAATAATTTGTAACGATTCGATTAGTTTCTTAAATTATTTTATAGATTTCAAAAATTTTAAAAAAGAAACACCCGCCTCAAGTCTTGTACAATTTGAATAAAGAAAGAGATAAAAATAGCATTGCGCAAACAATTGTAATATATTTTATAGGATTTTGATACCGACTTATTTCAGCTGCTAATGAATGAAATTTACTTCTATCAAGTGCATGCACAATGTGCAATCAATCAGAAGTGTGTTCTAAGCTGCGAACTAATGATGCTGGAAACTTTGTAGCTTTGAAACAGTTGGGCATCACTGGGTCTCGCGTAACAATGCGAAACGAACCAGCATTGGCTTAGAGAAATTCGCATTTCTCATGAGTTCGCGCAAATCCGCAAGCAAATATGTTCACGTCACGTTTTCGACATAGACTATCTAATAATTATTCACCAAGAATCTACAATTTACGATGAAATTACGAATTACATGTTAATTGTAGCGCACAATTATAGTAACAACTTAATATAGCACTTGGTATTTTCGATGATCAATATATAATACAAATCGAAGAATAATAGTTATTCTCATTTTAGAAAATACAGCGAAGAATTGGAATACGAGAGATGATAGAAATTTAAAGCACTAGTATATATGTGTATACATATATATCTATATAATATACTCGGATCTTTCAAATGTAAAACCTTTGAAAGCATAATGAATTTATGCTTATACAGCATACATTGAAATGCATATAAAAATCTTTTGTACGAGAGCATTTAATTTTACGCAATGCTATTATTCTCTTTTAAAGTTTGTCAAAACGCGACGTATCTCATATCCCAATCTATATTTTTACTATCATTTTATAAAATTTAAATGGCTAATGTTCGAACCCGACCATCTGCATGAATAATTATTACGCCCTTGTGTTTAAATTACTATCGTCCCGCCAGAGGTCATTCGCATTTATAAAATAGCATTTACCGGCGCATGTCGTATGAGCTTTTCCTGCATTTACCTTGATTCCACCGCCATGATGCGCCGCACCCACGCCGTATACTCTTAAAGGTACTCTGTGTGAGATAACGTACGGAAATGTATACGAATTATCTTCTGCACGACTGTAACGTGAAATCCACACGCCTCTTGATAACCAACGAAAATAGGCGTATGACTGTTCCGTGTGTTCTACACAATCTTGCCGTCGTACTGTCAAAATGGATGTCTCGCGGCCTGATCGAACGCCTCGAAAAAGCGAAGAGCGCAGGATCGAAACCGTATTCGCGGCACGCTTCAAACCTGAAATCTGGCGATACTTACTATAATGACATTGAACATAACTGAAAAAGTAAAAAAAAAAGAAAAGAAAAATAAGGTTTGTGTATATATATATATACACATACATACGCGCATAGATTTGAGAGAGAGAGAGAGAGAGAAAGGATAAAGGGACAGAGATAGAAGAGCACGATAAAAGTAGAAACTGTATACTATACTCGCTCGATATATCAGCTATATTCTCTTCTCCTGCTCGATAAGATTTGTGAGCGACCAACTCGAGAACGCGCGTGCACAATACTAAAGTCTGTGTTATCGCAAATATAACCAACCGTCTTTACCACTACACAGTTACTTTGTCAGGGTAGGATATGTACCGATGATACTACTACCGTTAAACCGCCGCAACGTTGCCAGCGTTCGTGGCCTGCACACCGGATCACCTTGAATTTCCAGTCCCAAAGAGATGCAATGTCGATGGTCGGATGGCCGACGATCTATTTATGGACTGTAACTGTGCAGTATGCTTATCTGACTTATTCGGAATCTTTATTTCATTTATCTATACGAGCTAATTTTATTATATTACATATTGTTTGTTTATATACAGACAATTATTTTGCACAAATGTAATATTTTTAGCGCTACCATTCAGTTACTTAAGTCACTTTTTGGTCATTTTTTTTACAAGTTACTAAAAAACTATCGTCCAAAATGAATTATTATAGTCACTCTTTCTTGAGATGATTTAAAATTTGTAAATTATAAGTTGTACTCGTAAATGTAAATGTTCTATTTTGTTTGTCTTGTGTCCGATAACAATTATTCGTACTGTTGCTTATATTAGTCCGGTGTCTCAACATCTGATTACTAGGACCTGAATGTGCGTGCGAGTTTGCGTATCACGCGCAAAGCCTCTATTCTTGAAAAGAAACGTAAAGGAAAACTAGGGAAATACTATAGTTTACGTTACATTTATTACTGTTATTTTCTTAGTTTTACACAGTTGTCTTCAATTCTTACGCAGTTGTATTCAAGCTCTCAATCGCATAAACATTTGGGCCTTATTTTACGTCTCGCGATTTGAATGTTATCATATTTGACGAGTACAACGTCGTTTTATCATGTTTAATTGTAAGACAAATTTTTATACAAGGCATTAGACTACAAAGCTTTTAGAAATCATTTAATTTGTTTTTTTTTGTTGGATAATTATCTTTAAAACAAATCATTTTTTTTTTTTTTATTGAAATTGATCAATGGTTCTTGTCGCCTGAAGCTTATGCTGAAAAAAATTTGTTATTGGCTGAACTGGAGCTTTTTCGTATATTTCTCACTATAAAATGTTTATGTTTCTAAACGGTACATATTCAATATTTAAAGGTCGTACTTACGTTTTCAAGAATCAATCATGATTGTATAATATAGTTATAAACATATCACTATAAAGAGATATTTGTTGTTGTATATTTTCATCAGGAGACGCGGTAGTGTCTCCGGCCATGTTCAAAAACTAAAAGATACTACAAATCTCTTTTTTTATTCCGAGTATTACTTTAAAATTGAAACTGTGAGAGAAAAAGAGAGGGAGAGGGGAGGAGGAAAGAGAAAACGAAAGAGCGAACAGCTTTGTTCTATCTATAATATATTAAACTATCCAAAACACGAGGAAAATGAGAGTAAATAATTTTTTTGCTTGAATTGTTCTAAAAATTTGAAAAAATTATTTTTTATTAACTATTTTATATAAAGGCCGCTGTTTATCTAAAAGCAGTCACTATTTCACTTTTTTAATCCGCTGACTGGATGGTAGCCTATATTTATATATTATAATATTTACAACAAAGTGCAACAAATAATTTTTATCTTTATTGAGAAAAACATATTTAACGCGAGGATAATATTTAAAAAAATATATATATAATTAAAATTATTTTTAAATATATTAATATTTAATTATTTTGACAATTATTTGATAGTTGTCGACTCATATTTACAGATACACCAACGTTTAGACTAGACATTAGTGATTTGAAAACGCTTAAATAAAGTTAACTAAATAAAGTTAAACTAATTTTTGTCATATTGAAATTACAGCATATTCAAGATTAGCATTTACATGAAAAGAGGTTGTCTTAAGGTCTGAAATAACTACAAAACAGATAAAAATTAATGAGTTATGTTATTGAAATAATAAATATATAGACACAATGATACAAATAAAATCAACGATCACAGTCGCTGGATTTGGCATCTCCATTACATATCTATACATATTTTGAAGAGCACACACTTACAAAATACACAACTTATAAAATAACTCACATTCTCTGAAGTATAAAAATAAATTTTAATATCAATGTTTGCGATGCTAGATAAATTTAAAACAATACACACACGAATTATACATACGTACAAATACGCGTAATCTTCTATAAGATATAATATTACTTATTGCTACGAAAAGTTTAAAATCTATTTAAGATTTAAATACTATGTCAGAGGAACCCTCGCGTATGACTGCTATTTTGCAATCAATCATGTATCTTTATCTAATACGAACTTATATGTATATACATATATACTATTGTATATTACTATTGCAGAGTATCAATTTGAATCATTGAATCTAAATACGAAGTTGTATAAAAAGTGGCCGTATTTCTTTTTATATAAATTTTTTGTTATCTCTAAAACTAGGCTCCTTTATTTAACTTCTTTAATATTGTCCTTATTTTTTCTTTTAATTGACAAAATTTCTGTGTTATTTTCACTATATAAAAACAAATTCCAATAGTATATTCATAAAATAAAAGTAATAATACAAAAAAATATGTCTTGAATGAAAAGACATAAATTTGACACGAACACAAATATGTAAAGACAAAAGAAAATGTTCTACAATTTTGATCTATTTTTTATATGAAATTGTTTTTGAAAGATCTGTACTTTTATTCTTAAGCAAAATCTTAAAATTGATGAATAAATATATATAATTCAGAAAAATTAATTCTCTTATTGAATATAGTTAAAGGAGAAGCGTAGCGAGAATACTTTTGAATACATATTTCAAATATACAATCGAAACATTGTGTAATAACAAAAGCAAAAAAATTGCTTTATCGATCAGTAATTTGATTATTAAGATTTTCCATTATTTATAATCAAGTTACACACAGATCTATGTAACCAGTTGCTAATAGTAATTATATTGAATTTTACTTCTACTTTGGCTCCTTCGCTTAAATACGCAGAAATCATTCATTGCGAGCAGCGACATGAATTCACAATCAGTCAGCAAAAGCATGTACTTGACAATCTTCTCTAGTAAATCGTGTTCATGTCTAAATGCAGCTTACGAACGTTATACGTATCTCGTAGTTAACTTTAATTGGCACACGCAAGTTAAAAGTTTTCGTGAATTGCATCTCTGAATTGCCTCTATTTGAGCAATATTTTGAGCTGAATATGAGAGCACTGTAATCGAGGGAAACTTTGCTTACGCGTAATTACGTTTCACGCGCATAGGTCACGAACCCACGTGTGTGTCATATTTGTATTATAATATATAGCACTAACGCATACACAACTGTTCGCTTACCATAGTATATCTCTAGTGTCGCAAGTATTGAGATTTTTTATTCAATGGTCAATGGTGCGAACAATGTATGAAGAACGTTTGCGAACTTACATTATAATATTATAATCTAGTATGTTTGCCAATTTCATTGGTTACGTCGAGAGAAGCGTTCTTTAGCGCGTTCAATTTCTCCACATAGCTGTTATCCAGATGTAGCTTTCCTCTATCATCGATGCATCCTTGAGGAGAAGTTACTTTTTCGACACTGTCGGGAATAGACATTACAGAGGAAAGAGTAGCATTCGTGACATCTGTATCATTTTTATTCCCAAGACGAATGTTGCTGGCGTACAACCTCCGTTTTCCAGGAAATAATCCCGCTATCTTTCGTGCTATAGGATGCAGCAAGTGTTCTTCGTATTTGTCAGCTTCTGCATCAGCAGTAATTAAACTCACAATGATACCAACGCCGACGGTCGTTATGCTACCAATAAGAGCATAATACATATAGGTAATCCCGTAAAGAACACTTAAAGGATCAGAAGGTTTATTGATTTCGTCAACAGATGATAGCGTAATGTTTTTCTGAATTGTTGTCCAATTGTTCACCGACGTTCCAGTGACGTTTAGTGCATCATGTTCTAGACTAATTGGTTTGATGACCCAGGAAAACGTATCATTATGGCAATTCTCCGTCGATAAAGGTAGCATTTCGGGTACGTTACCCTGATTGAGGTGACCATAGGTGATCCACATCGTTGTTATATGACTAAAAATCATACCAACGGCGGCACCTTTCCAATTAGCACAAGGTACCAACATAGCGAGCAGAAATACACCAAGAAGAGGTCCGGATGTTGCTGACGTCATCAGCATAGAAGATTCTATTACACCAGATAACATGGCTACCAAGAAGCTAATGCCGATTATTATCAAACCATAGATAACACCGATTATTTTGATTGTATGAAGTTGCTGCGTGTCTTTCAGATCACTCAATGCAGGTATGTGACTCAGGAAATCTTCAAAAGTCACGGTCGCAAGAGAATTGAGATTAGATACCGCCAAAGTCAAGGCGCTATTGAAAAGAGTTGCCATAACTAGACCAAGCATGCCGGGTACTTTCGAGAATTTATCTTCGACGTAGAATGGTACAATCTCATCGATCTTCGAAATATATCCCAAACTAAGTGGATCGCAGTCAGCGTAATTAGTAAAAATCACCATTCCAACGATCCAAGATAACGAGAACAAGATTGTGATTATAGGTATGTTGGCCATCATCGTTCTGAAAATAAAAACATTTTTTTATTACAAAATCGGAGAACAAAATATTAAATTATTCAAAAAATTAATAAAAGATTGATACAACAATGCAGAGCCTATAAGATAACAATGGCATAAAAATGTATTAAAAATTATACAAGAAAATTGTTTGTGTTGTTACATAAATGCACGACACAATTCTTGAAAAAATTAATGTTATATAATTGTTATTTACGTCCAAGCTTGTTTTACAAGTTTTTTAATGCATGCAATATACTCGCATTATGGTCTCGATGCGTGAAATGAATGATTACAATGAATTTCGAATTCGTTTATATAGTAGTACTTTATTTGATATAATTGATCGATAAAAATATGATAGTAAGTGTTGTAACCGACAAATTAAATGTTTAGCAGAAAACGGGCTTTTTAAAAATATATAGTGTGCGTACATCCATTAGGTGGGTTAATATATATTTGCATTTTTATAAAATATTATTGAATGCTTATTGTTTTTATAAAATATAATAGTAAACATTCTAAATTGTTTTATATTATTTTTATAACATAGTAAAGTTTGAATTTTGTTTAAAAGAATTATTTATTTTTAATCGTTAATTACTCTATTCTTATAAAATATAAGACTTTGCAATAAGCTTTATATATACCATTCCAGACACACATTTAAAATGCATTACTTAAAACGGTTTTAATGCAAGTACATCGGAATAATGTACTCGTATGTATGTGAATGTTATTTATATTAAATTTTTTGTAAGACTTAACACAATAGCGCACGACAGTATCATGCATATCGGAAGAACTTGTTACATAAGCAAAAATAAAAGCAAAGAATAACGAATTTAATGAAAGAAGCTCGAGTGCAGATGACAATTGTATAACGTTTGTTCGTATAATTGTTTTTTAAACTTTTTGAGATAATGGAACCCGTTTATTATTTAAATATAATTATAATTTTACTAAGAATAAGATGAAAAAGAACTTAAGGAAAATAAGATATGTGTGAATTCTTAAGTATAAAACGAAAATAATAAAATTTGAGATACGGCAGATACTTGTGATTTGCATTAATGATTAACGCACACCCATGACAATTAAATCACTTATTATATAATGTATCTCAATATTAATTAAAATGTCTATCGAAGGAAGTTTGAAAGAATTATCAAGTATAATCGCTTGTGTAACATAATGCATAATATTAATATACATTAATACCGGTAAATCCCGTAACAACATAAATTGTTAACTAACTAACAATAACGACGACGTCATTCATTATAATTTTATCGTTGAGTAATTTGTAGCAGTCTACAATAACAACAAATAATGTAGACATTTTAATTCTCCATCATTCTGAATAGTTTTACTTTTTCATTTTCAGCGAGATATTTATTCAGTCAATTTAATAAATATGTTCAGAGAAGATTTTATTTTAACGTATGTCGTTATATATCGATATTATAGACCTTTCATTGAATAGTGAGAATCTCTATATACTAAAAGTTTGGCACGGCGCCATTCGGTTCCCTACGGAGCTCTCATTGATTATGTGATAATAGTAACTGTGGGCACAATTTCACCTAAATCGGTTCAATTGTATCACTTCCCAAAAACTTTCTACCGTTGATACTACAAGCACGAGAAATTATTGATGTAAAATTTATTAACTGGTTGTTATAACCTGAGAAATTTATTTTATAGTTTTTGACATATTAATCACATTTACAGGAATATAAATGTCATGTAAAGTATAAATAGTTATATTATTCATATACAACAATTATATGAGAAAACTGTCTTTTATAAACAATTTTATAAAACCTTTATTTTTAATCTGTTATCATAAATATAAATAGATATTTAAGAAAAAAATTATTCAAAAACAAAATGTTATTAACAGTATATAAATATACATAATATTTCAAATTAATTTCAAATATTTATTTCATTACATCTCGAAAATATGTATAGTGAAAGAAAATTTTTAATGACAATGAAATTTTAATTTAATTTTTATTCAATCTCTAAATTTTTACTGAGACGGTTTCGATAATTTTACAAACATGTCGTTGAATCAATTATAAATTAAATTTTTGTCATGGAAATATCCACGTAAATTCCTCTGATGATACATTTTCGAGTAATAATAACATTTTACGGACCAATGATGCATTTGTTCCACGTGGCGTTTCAGTTTGCAGTGGCACTGCCGCAAATTTGTGACCATGGGCTTTTATACGCTTTCAATTGCCATCAGACATCGGACTAGAAAAATGTACGGTTTTACGTTGACTACTATATATATGTCTCAATATTTCGCCACGATTACAATTATGCGAGCGTGTGAGCTACTTTAATTGTGCAAACAGCTGCTTTTACACGCAGTATAAGCCTAATATAATAAGTCTCAAATAAAAAATAACAAATAAAATTGATAGATAAAAAGAAACTGAATTTAATTTTACGTTGAAGAATGTGTTCATATTAATAATTAATGAATGTGATATGACGTTTTGTATGTTTTACAAAAAGAAAAGAATTGAAACATTCTTTTCTTCTTAATGTAGTTTTTACTTTAAAAAATTCATTTTTTATTAAATCAATAAAACTTGTAAATTTTTAGTTAACAATTTTAACCAAGTTTTTAAATTATCTTACTTCTGTGTCTACTGTGTCCAAGTAAGCAATTGAAGTCACGAAATTACATTAAAAGCTTAAACAAATGTCAGCAAAATATCAGATTTATTTTAAAATGATATATGGCTTCCTTTTTGTCATAATTTTATTAAAACATTAATTAAAATGATAAATTACGTTTATTTAGAGAGTGATAAAAATCTTTTACAGACGCAGCATGAAAAAATATACGGCATTGTAAAATGGGTATGACATTATCTTATTACAAAATTTTTCAGATTTATTTTTTAGACTCTTTGATAATAATCTACATTTATAATATATTTTATAGTAAATATTTAAAAAATATATTTTCCTTCTATTATATGTATATACTTATATATATTTTTTTGTTTTCTTTTTTTGTTTTCTTATATCATTTAGTTTGTAGAGTAAAACTCTACATTAAGATAAAATTTATTTGCGTGTATTTTAATGTAAATTATATGTAATTCATGTTGCGCATGTGTGTGTGTGTGTGTGTTACTAAATTATTAAATAAACTCAAGTAGCTGAAAAAGAAAAAGCTTTAACAAGTCAAGTAAATGCGTGTACGTTTCAAGTGGATGTAACTGAAATACATCCAAATATTCAAGAAAATAATTTGTTTTCTAAAAGAATCTTTTTTGGTTTGATTGAAACTATTTTATGGATTACATATATGCGGTCATATTCAAGTTCCATTTATGCGTGTAAAATGATAATTTGTAGAACACTTCGCATAAATCATATTATCTTTTAAGTTTTTCGACGACGTGTGCACAAGTCTGTCGTACGCTAAAAGCGTGGATAGGGAATTTGTTCAAAGTTTTGAACTGAGATAAAAAGTTTACTTACTTGACAACCTTTCTATGACTGGACATACTGCAATATCTCTGGACAAAATTCTGCTGACATCCGAAAATGGATAAACTCATGAAAAGCTGACCTATTGTTGCCGATGTTGTCGTTACTCGAAGATGCGGATCCATATCAAAACTGAAAAAGAGGATAATGTTACTAAATTAAAATTATCGTGATTTTATTGTAAGATATACTTAGAAAGTTTTAAATTATATTAAACGCCATTTTAAAAAATACTCAATTATTTAAATTTTTCTCAATTTGAAAAAAGAATGAATATTTTATTGTCTCCCCAAAATTTCAAAGATGTAGAAAATGCACAGCCTGTGAAATAATTTTGCGCCGCTACGGAATTTAATAATTTTAAATTGTGAAATGCGTAGCGAAGAATTTTAATATAAAATTGCATTTTAACATTATTCAATTTACTGACAGTTGGAATTGTATATTTTCGCCGAGATAATAATTCTAAAGTTCAGAGAGGCGAAATGTGAAACTACGCAACAGGAATTCCATACATGATTCATTTTAAGCGTGAATTAATATCAAAATCAAAATTACATACATTCAATGTTAGTAGGAATTATCAGTGTGACATACTTGAAAAAATCCAGTCGACCGCGTTCCTGAGTTACATTGAAGACGTTAATTGGTCCACCAACATTGATAGTCCCCTGTATAATGATCACCACAGATACGCCAATCATTGCCAAGCCTTGTATAACATCCGACAGAATAGCCGCTTTTAAACCTCCCTAAAAAGCGAACATACATGAATAAATATTAAATATTTGTGAAATAACACAATTTATTATTAAATGACGAAATTAATGCTAATTAATTTTAGAAATTTTAATCGTGGTAAACGATTCACGTAAAAAAGTAATCTACTATTCGAAATATGTATTTGTTATAATAACAAATATATTATATTCTACATATTAATGTTTTATTATTTCAGAAATTAATATTAAAGATTATACGGTTTTCATTATTTTTTTTATAATATTATTTGCTGTTATTATTCGCTCAATGCGTCTTGTTTATATATATGTGTGCTTGATTGCTCCAATTTCCCATGGGACGAATCTAAGTAATTTACCACTAGAATGTAATTTTACATTGCGCAGCGGAAAATTCATGTTCCAAATCAAAATTATATTGCAGTTTTACTCTTTATTTAAATTTGAAATATTAAACTTTCCGAAAATTGTTTTCACAGAAACCATCACAAATAATTTACTTCTTCGCAAAGATTAAAATCAATATAATTTTAGATAAATAAATGTCAATTACAGAATGCAATATCATTTGTTAATATAATATGCATGCTCTATAACAAAAAATAATAATGTTTAGATTTTTTTCGCGTTTTTACGAATACGAGTAAATATAAAAGACAGCTTTTCATTTGTTGTATTTTTTGCATATATTACAATATGATTTCTATTTGTTCTTTGCATGAAATCTCAATGTTGATTATTTAACTTTAATTTTTAAATAAAATGTTGAGCAAAAAAACCAAGAGAGAATATGTGTTTGATATTTAGAAATTATGAATGAATATCGATATTTATAAAACAATATAAGTATATAATATACGTGTTCTTACTATGATCGTGAAAACCACAGAAATAGCTGTTATTCCTACGATACTGGCCCAGTACGGAAGTCCTATTACTGCTTTCAACGCGACGCAAGGGGTAAATACTGTGACTCCCAAGTTTAGCAGACTCCGTATGACGTATGAGAAACTCGCCAGACATCTAACTAGTTTTGACTTGAACCTGGGGAATTTACATAATTAAGAGAGCTGAAATGAAAAATTTGACGTATTTATCTTCGTGTTTCGGGACACGATCGTTATATATAACGTCCTTCACGTCAAAGTAAAAATTATTTAAGTTTAAAGTGCTCTATTAAATATCAACAACCGATATGTGTTGAAACAATTTTTTTTAGAAACTCTATTATTTTAATTCTTATGTCAATGTACACTCAAGTAAAATTCTTTTTTAGTTTTACTACGAGATTGTAACGTACTTATATTAAGTATCGAAGCATTGTTTCTGCTGCAATTTGAATACTCACTAATAATTCTAAATATTCTTCTTTTTTTTCCAATTTAAAATGATAATTTTAATAGTGAATATGATGTAGAAATTTTGGCTAATATTACAGTAATACTTAAAAAAAGTTTTATTATTAGCATATATATAGTATGACATCTTTTTACTGTGCATAATATTCGCGATAATTCTTCCATATTAATATTTTTAACAAATATTATGAATTAATAAAAGACAACACAAAAACATTGTTATATGTAAAACATTACAGCAAACCATATATTATTACAGAATATTTCGACAATAGACACGCGATTCACAAAGCAATGCGTCAGAATTAATATTATACAAATAAAATTTTCGGATAAGTATATATACATATGCTGAAACAATTGGCGATGCAAAGATTTTTCTGTGGCGCTCCTAGTCGCCAATCGGTAGAAGCTTCGCTAGTCAGACACATTGGATAAACTTATACTTGCTATAATGGAAAACAATAAAGTAAAATCAAAAAGAAATACTACATATTGTTCTGTGGCACAGTACCATAATTATAAAAAGGAGGGAATCAGTTTTCATCACTTTCCAAAAGATGATAAACTCATTTTTTGGAAAGTAATGAAAACTGATTCTCTCCTTTTTATAATTGGTACTGTGCCACAGAACAATATATAGTATTTCTTTTTGATTTTACTTTATTGTTTTCCATTATAGCAAGTATAAGTTTATCCAATGTGTCTGATTAGCGAAGCTTCTACCGATCGGCGACTAGGAGCGCCACAGAAAAATCTTTGCATCGCCAATTGTTATTTTTCGATTTTTAACTTTAAGGTTGAACTCAATATGATTTTATTATCAAGAATACATGTTAATATTATATTATAACGTGATATTTTCTTGTATGTGATTATTATCTATTAATTTTGTTCCGTTTGTCTTCATACATGACTTATAATATACCATTAATACAATTTATGCGTAAACATTAATAGATGTCTTTTTATATAAAATTCAAAAAGTAATATCTCGTCGATTATTTCGCGACATGAAATAAAGGACTGTAAAATTACCTCATGTCCAAATATTGGTAGACTGACGTGATACCGAGGCTGTAGTAAACAGGTACGAAGACGAAACAGACGATTGGATATGCCAACAGCATCCCGTATAGAGTCTCCCACATGGCGCTACCTTGATAATACAGTTCTGAAGGATACCCTAAAAAGGACTTGACACCGAGGGTTCCACGAGCGATTGATAACATCATCGCAGCCATTGACACGTTGCCGGTGGCAAACACGTAATTCGCCTTCGTCTCCTTTTTCTTTGTTTTAAAGTTCCCCCATAGCGGTATCAGGAAGGAAATCACGATGAATCCGATGAACACCAAATAGTCCACCACCATCGATGTGATGTCAGTCGCCATCCTGGATCCACGGTTGCTTTGGAACTCTTGTGATCGAGGTTCGTCTGCGCAATTGAAGATGCCAAGTTCAACAACGATTCATATTAGGAGTGTGTCACTCGATACTCTAGAAGCTCTCGATTACGAGACAAGTGGCTTTTGAGAGACGCTTGAGTTGTCGAGTACTGTTACGAGCGCAGAACGCCGCAACTTGTAATAATGACAAAAAGGTTCGACAACTGTCTTTTGACCAAGCTTTATTCAACGGTGTTACAAGCAAACTTACAGAATGGCGAGCTAAGGTTGATGACGAGAGTACGGTTTACAAAATTAGACTAACTCGAGCTAGAAAGGATCTTTTTACCGACTAAAGAGGTGGAGTCTTCTATTCAGCTCCAATCAATAACGTGAGATTTTATAGTACCAAAAATGTACGTTAAAGGGATAAAGAAAACCTGGAAGAAAGTGACGATGACTCAAAAGTACGTTAAAGATGAGTCATAAAATAAATTCGTTAGACACATACCCTTTTTTTGCCTAGAATTCTAAGAACATCGTAAAACTGAATATTCAAAAGATGTTTTCAAAAGAGTAAAATGAAAGGAAAGCAATTGGTGAAAGTAATAAAATAATGGCAGGAAACCAAGGTTTATTAAGAAGGTTTAGGGAAAAAAAATATGTTGAACAATCCAAATATAAATATTAAAGGGCAAGTGAGAGTAAAATAATGTCTACGCGGTTGGCGATGCGTTAATATGGAGAATGTTTAATTATCCAAAAATATATGAAATTATAATATCGTACGTTTCGACTGATTTCCAGTCATCTTCAGCAAATTAACTTTACAAAAAAATTTACAAAAAACTGTAATCTGACTTTCATGACAATCGTAAAAATGCGAGTCAAGCTAACGAAAATTTTTTCTTTAAAAAACACGAACGTCCAATTAATCGCCTTCAATTAGATCTTTGTTAACTGTTGGATTTTGACAAATGTTGTATTCCTCCAACCATCATTGAGAGGAGTAACTTCGAAAGATGCCGATTGACCTGAGTGATGGAGGCGATTAATTGGACGTTCGTGTTTTTTAAAGAAAAATTTTTCGTTAGCTTCACTCGCATTTTTACAATTGTCATGAAAGTCAGATTATAGTTTTTTGTGAATTTTTTTGTGAAGTTAATTTGCTGAAGATGACTGGAAATCAGTCAAAACGTACGATATTATAATTTTATGTATAGTTTTTGGATAATTCTCCATATTAACGCATCGCTAACCGCGTAGACATTATTTTACTCTCACTTGCCCTTTAATATTTATATTTTGATTGTTTGTATATCGAGAGTCAAATATATACTTTAATATTTTTAAATATATTGAAACTTTCCATGCATTAAAACGTGACAACGAGGGTTACGTGAGACGTAACAGTGCTACAACGATTGTTTCTATCGAGTGTGGACTTTTAAAGTGTGGACTTGGGGTGCTTGAATGCTACCTTTAACGTGATTCTTGTCTGATCTTCGTCTGATCACAGTCCGTTGAAATATTACGAAGAGATTCGTATTCACGATGATAAGCGTGATAAGTTCCGGAAAGACTAATAATGGAAACTCACTGATAACATACACTTATATCTCGTTCGCGTGTATACATATGCGCACGTAAGTCTCGTTATGCAATTTCACAAAATACATTAATATATCTCAATATATGCGGTGCGATCGGAGTGGCAGCACGTATTGACTACCAACTTGGTGAAGCACTGGACGTTATTATACTAACAACTTTAAAGAAGAGAGAGAAGAAAGATGTAGTCCTATATGGAAAAGAGACGAAGGAATGGTGATATAGTGGGGATGTGATGTGATGAAAGGAGGGAGCCCGCCCGGAAGAACATGGTAGCTTCTTATCTTCTACCACTATTGTTTATCGGCGTCGTGCCGACACTTCTATGTAAGCTCTTCTCATTGAATTTATATCCCGTTCACTTCTCGTGAAAGAAGGCACCTGATCTTCCACAGAGCATAATTGTTTATAAGTGATCTATTGTTGAATAAATGTATGCAACAGACCGTAAGAATGCTTACAAATTTTAATGCTGCTTACGTCAATTCTCGTAATATTTATGCATAAAAGCATTCATCTCGGAGAAAAAAAAAAGGTACACATTTATGCTTGTAATTTTGCATATATGTATGCAATATTGTATGTATTATAATACAGTATGTTCGCAATTCATATTACTAAAATTAAATATCTAAAATAACATGTTCTAATAGTGTGACATTTTTAGTATGAATATTGTGATATTCTAGATATTATATATACAGAAAGTACTTCAGACTTGTTTTAGATATATATGATAAATTTTTATATAAAATGATTAAAGCATTTCGACAAAGCTTGTTGCTATGCAATATTAATTAATTAGTACGTTGCGCCGAAAAAAATTTATTTATAAGCTTTACTACCGTTTATTCGTAATGAACAAATCAATAAAGTTGTTAATGCTTTGGATTTTTAAATGTGATTGGCAAAATAATTTCGTGCTGTTAGTTAATTTGAAATTAATAGAACGTCATATACACGTGTATATATTAAAAATAATAACAAGTAGATATTTTGTTTATAATTTTGCATTAATTATTTGAGAATTAAATATTTTAAAACTATATGAAAATATTTTTTATGAAGAAGAAATCCACAAGAATAACTCTAACATGTAATTAATTTTAACACATGTAGTTAAATTGATTAAAATTTCCAAGAAAAGCAAGGCAATTGCCATTATATCACACAAAGTTTAAGGATAATCGTTTGTAAGCCCACGTTATTTTAATATCTCAAACTTTTTATTACCTCAACTCAACGCGTTTATTACGTAGAGCCATAAAATTCTGTATAGTTTGTAAGAAACATTTAATCCGAGAATTTTCTTGGATAAAAAGTTCTCTCCCAAAGCATCATTTAGAGTAGCCACTTTTTGTGAAGTACTTAAATTTTGACATGTACATAAACAGAGGAACGAAATAATAATGACTCTTTGTGTATTTATTCGTTATGATTCACTCTTATGTTCTATTATCCTATATTACACCATCTCTGTAGTTCCCCAATTTTGATAAAGCTGTTTACAAAAATATAAGTGAATGATGCAAAAAAATTTGCTTAATCACTGTTGCTATGATTTCCTTCAAGCGCTTACGCAATTACAGATCTGTGAATACATCATGCTACCTGCTTATCTTTGAAACTTTGTTTTATTTAATTTATTATTACACTAGAAGGATCAAATAGTTTTTGATTACAAAAAAATTATGTCATCTATATTGTTAATAAATCAAAATAATGAAACAGAAAAGAGCTACGAGCCAAAAGTGTCGTTATACAATTGTTAGTAAATAAAAATTGTCATTTAATTAAAATATGTAGTTTAATTAGAAACAAAGAAATATATGATAAAAAACAAACAGACGTTTCTATTAGGTCATTATCAATGGTACAGAATGATCGCAAGTTGTTAACAAAGGATGATGTATGAAATTATAAAATTATGAAAAAATAATGTGTGTACACTCTCACTCGCATAGTTGACGTTGTATTCATTTCGGTACATTAGTAAGGACTATGGCAGAGAATGAGACGTAACATGCGTAGTCGTAACGTAAGATAAGGCAGAGAAAAACGTAGCTGTCGTAGTAGTGACTGCCAGTGTTGCCAGTCACTACTACGACAGCTACGTTTTTCTCTGCCTTACCTTACGTTACGACTACGTATGTTACGTCTCGTTCTCTGCCATAGCCCTAAGAGTCCATAAATCAATGTAAATTGTCTGGTATATAAATGTAGTGTGTAAAAGTGTTTAATAATTGTTTCTTTTAAAATTGTATCAATGTACGATTTATAAAATTGTCCGTTGTTAAAACAATGCGATGAGAGCCAAATTTAAGTTCTTACACTTATATAGAAGTTTATAACATTGATAATGACCTAATAGAGGTCGAAACGTCTGTTTGTTTTTTGTCGTATATTTCTTTGTTTCTAATTAAACTACAGTCTGTTCAATAAGAGCGTACGGTTCCGCACTTCATTAATAGATGATGCACAGGTGTTTTTCTGATTCTCTGAACAGTTCGGAAGAATGCTTTGAAGTTATATGGGTAATGTGACTTGTTTTGACTGTAACAGAGCAAATAACCACAATGAATGCTGCGTATGCAAGTAGTCGTTTTTGAAGTAGTGTTCCTTTACACACATCCGAAAAGACCGAAAATGTCGTATGCAGCTGCCGGGCGCTACATGAAAAAGTCAGAAGGATTCGTCAGGAAGTGGGTGAAAACGAAACAAAAAATGTCGACGACCTGCCGGAACATGACACCCGACGGTCAACGATGAAAAAGGACGACAAAGCTATCATCAAGATATATGGATAGAATACGGTGGCGATCTACAAAGAAACAGCCCGTACGTTCGCGTACGAACAGACTGTACATAATTTTAACTAAATGACAATTTTTATTTATTAACAATTATATTACGACATTTTGGGCTCGTAGCCCTTTTCTGTTTCATTATTTTAAATTTATTAAGCCCTCTATTACAAACATATACTATATTAACAATTCAATTAATTAATATTAATAAATTATTATTTTTAAGAAAATCGAAAGCTTTTTGCTACTCTGTGGTAATTTATGATATGATGAAAACAAATACATATGTCTGTTATACAAATTCATAGAAATAAAAGCTACAATTAAACTGTATGGAACTGTCCTCTCTGACTTGAAGGAAAACAACGCTCTTCCCTCGTTTACAAATCAAAAGCTACTAAAAGATACGTAAAATTAAGACGGAAAAGTAGTGAATTGTGCTCAGCATTCCTTCGTAGTAATGAATATCTCCCTGAATTCGTAGACCACTCTCCATTTTCTATCACTCAAATTCGTTCCTTATCCTATGCAATACCATGGTTCACTCAGCATGGAACAATGCTCAGTACACAATACACATTTACGCGATATGCATTTGGTGTGTAAAACGACAACGAGAACTTGGCCGGATGGCGTACGCGTTAACGTGAGTGGCCAATGAAGAACCAGCCTTCGTGGAGCTAACACAACCGAGAATCCATTGTATCACACTTGGAAACAATAGGTTCGCGAACCCCCTCCCTCTCCCTCTCTCTCTCTCTCTCTGTCGTTTGTCGTCCATTCCCTTTCGTTCTGGTTCTATTTTCCGTTTCGCTTTTAGCTCGTTTTCCCTTGCCAGCTTTCTCTGAGAATGTGACAGTTCCTTTCACGTTTGCCCGCGTTCCTGGCAAACTTGGCTTTTGCTATTTTTGCACGATGTCTATTTTCATTTCGTGTTCGATCTCTTTTCTTGCATCGCCTTTTCAGCTTTATAGTTTATCGTATTCATCCCGTTTTCCGTCTTTTTACAGAATCGAAAATCATTTCTGACATTCATTATCGTCGATAAAAGTGACAGGGCGTGTAGAATATACAGCAAGAAATCAGTAAAATACTCGTGTAACGCCAATGTACCTATATGAATGCACGACGCACGTGTGCACAAAAGAAGAACCGCAAGCTAGTCGAGTGTAAAAATCGCAGCTAAATGTTCTGTAAACCATGCATCCGATGAGGTTGCCGCCAACTCAAGCAAAACGAGTTCCCGAGAAATATCATTATTTTACGACTCCTTTGGATCATGGAGAATGTAATTCGGATTAATATTTCGAGTAATGATATTGTTCGAAAAAATATATAATTTTTCCAAATGTTCAATAATATGTCTATACATGATGTCAAAAAGAGGCTTTTGTTCAATTTTCTCTTAAAAACATATAATTCTATTGAATATTGTCTAATTTTTTAAATATTTATAATTGTTACTAAATTAATTTTAATTTGTGTATATGTATAATGCATATATTTATCACATAAAGTTTTATTTTTATAAAAACTTTTATAAGATTTCAAAAATTATCATTTCAAAAATGCATAGATTGACGTTAACGCCAATAAATTACTCTTGCTATAATGTTGACAACAAATTGATGAGTTTATAACAATGTATTTGACTTTATCTACGTTAATGATGATATGTCATAATGATGAAACTAAGTGGAATAGCTTCCGGTAACGCAATTATCTTATGACTCAGACTGAGAACGCGTTTTGACATCGTTGACATAAATAACAAAACAGAAAATAAGATTGTCATTGTAAGATTACTTAATATTCGATTGTTTAATTAATACAATCGACAGAACTTGTTAGGATACATATTGGGCACCGGTAAGGTATTTTTTACATATTATACACCAATGATTGACATTAAATAATACACGTATACTTACTGATTTGATTCTGCTCGATTATAGATGATTTTCTCGTTACCTTAAAGCAGAAAATATAATAAATCATCAAATGTTATAAATCAAATAAAATGCAAAAGCACTTATTAATTATTATTGAAATTTTTTTAATGATAAAATTTGAACTCTTCCACTTCTTTATGTACTTTGTACCATGTTGTTCATGATAATGTCACACGAAAAAAACAAACGATTTTAATGACTGTCTCGTATTATTCCAATAAAACAAGTGATTATTGAAAATATTTTATGCGAAAAAAAATGAAAAAACAAGAGAGGCGAAGAGAGTTTTAATAACAAAGCACTCTTTTTCGTATGCGATTAACTGAAAAATACTGATAAAAAATTA